CCATTTTCTGAACTTCTGCTATGTGCCAGACATCATACTAAACTCTCAGGATACTAAAATGAATGTAACTTCACAATGCTTGGCTAGGGGATCTCAGTCTATATGGACACAAACACATAAGGGCAAATGAACACACTACAGAATGGCAACTAGAGGAGAGTCAGGTCCCATTCTCATTGTCATTGCCTTATTTAATATCTTGCTTTTTGCCTCAATTTCCCCCATCTTTGATGTGGAGATAGTCCAGCTCATCCCCTCAGATGTCAAAAAGCAGGAAGAATGCTGTTTATTGATGCACTACTCTAAGATATTTAGAAAAGAAGTGTCTTCAATACAAAGAGAAGGGAATTTTCCCCTTTCTTCTTGGTATCTGTTTATTTCAAGTTCTGGACTATTCTATCAACATCTGCCCCTATTATTAACTACTACTACTAACCCTGCCACTAACTAAGACATCAAAATTAGCACAAACACTTCTTATTAATCTGCCCTATTAAAACAAAAAGAATGTATACCAAAGATAGTAGCTTAATATCTTTAATATAGAGAGCTCTCAACAATAAGATGAACACCCTAGTAGAAAAATGAGCAAAGAATATGAACAAGAAATTTCCTCAAAGAAATACATATAATCATATTTTTAAATGTGCATGCTCGTTAGTAAAAACTTTAAGTAAGCTACTATTTTCTTTATATAGTCTTTTTAAAATTTGATCACCCAGAATTGACAAGGCTACAGGAAAATGGGCAAGAATGGATATGTAAATCGATATAAGCATTTTGAGGAGTAATGAGAGGCCATAAAGCAAAAGCCTTAAAGATGTGCATACCTTTGGACTCAGTAGTTCTACATGTTTACAAGAACACATAGCTATTCACTGTAGTATTTTAACTAGTGAGGAACAGGAGTAGAGAGATTGGTTAAGTACAGTACAACCTGTCATGGACCATTCTGCAACCTTTTAATATAATGTTATAGAAGATGACTTAATGCCATGGAGAAATATTTATATATTCTTTTTTTTTTTCCTTTTTGTCTTTTTTTACTGACCGGTAACGGGATCGCAACCCTCG